TCACGGTGTCATCTAAATATATTTCATGGTTCAATGAAAACGGATGTCATTAATACTTTTTGATGGCGTACGAGGCGAGTTTATTAGGAAAAATATCCACTACTACAATATCATCGTCCCCCGACTAATCGTAGACGAGTCTTCAACAGTGCCATCGGAAATAGCACAATATCCACCATCCTTCTAATTTACATCCCAAGCCCACCGATTTACAGGCCAAGCCTTCTGGTTTACATGTTGAGCCCACATGATTATATTCTGAGTCTGTCAATTTACATTCAAAGCTCTCCGAAGGATATTATACGCCTATGGACCTGGCTTTTGCTTTATATACATCATATCTGACGGGTGGTGCTCCTCCACCAACACTAACACCGTATGCAGCCCAACCACCGTTGTTATTCTTTTTACTATTTTCACAGTTCTCAACAAGTAGTGGGATTGTTCATCATACACTTTCACATTTATTATTCCATGAAGGTCCTTCAACATCAGCTCCAACCCAATAAGATGAAGCTAATGCCTATGAAGATGATGAGACTAAAGAGGAATAACAATCTATACGAAAAAATCCTATTCGAAATAGACAACTACCGCCCTCTGAAACGCATTCACGAAGAAGACATCATTAGTTTTTATATTATATTTTTAATTAAATATTATGTTTTTTTCGTATTTAGTTTTTATGTTTAATGTTATGTTTTTTAATTGAATATTATGTTTTAATGTTATGTTTTTATATTTATGTTTAATGTTATGTAGTTTTTATGGTTTTATATTATGTTTTAATGTTATGTTCTTATCTTATCTTATCTTTAATTGAATATTATATTTTTTATGTTTAGTTTTAAAGTTTAATGTTATGTTTTTTAATTGAATATTATATGTTTTAATTATACATTTAATGGTATATTTTTTTAAATTATTATTTTCAAGTAAAATGTAAAGGTGTGTTCTACGTAACACGTATTTTACGTGGACTGTCACATCAACATAAGGCGTTTTCTACATAGCACACATTTATTGAGTCGGATGTCATGTGTGTAAAGCGTGTCCTACAATACATGCCTTCGTGCCACGCTATACCAAGGAGTAACATTTCGATAAATATTAGTTAAAGTGTGTTATTTCAGTAGTTTTATATTTTTGGCTATTTTTAGGTAAAATCACCTTATATTTACCCTAATTTATAAAAAAAATATACCCTCATCTCAATCAATTAAATAAAATGGCAAATCTACAATTTTAATATTTAAGTTTAATTTTAAGATTCAATTTTGATATTCAATTTTTTTATTTAATTAAATACATGAAATTGATTTATCTATTCAAATTTGATTATTAGAAATTCAGATTCATTCATGTCATCTGAAATTTAGATATTGGTACCGAGAAACCAACTTCAACTATTTAATTAAACAAAAAAATCAAATATTGATTTAAACCGAGAAAATAAATTCAAATGTCAATTTAAATTAAAAAAGAAAATTCAAAACCTCGATTAAATAGAATAAAACAATTATAAAATTATATTTAAGCAAAATTTAAATACTAAAATATATGTTTACCCTAAATAAAACTCTACTTCATTCGTCCAATAATCCTTACATAAACAAATATCTTCAGAAAAAAGTCCTTTAGAAATCTCTCATCAGTTCGGTTTCTATCGTTTTCAATTGTCCCCTTTTTATTTGGAGTTTTTGGAAATGGATAGGACTGAATGGTGCCTTCTCATCGTGTGACTCAGTAACCATAGGCCAAAATTACGAGTCCACCGAGTTGGAAACTATGTTTTTAAAGAAAACTCCATGTAATGATTTTAATTATAATCATAGGTGGATATAATATTTTACGTTAGAGATAAATCTATTAAATGTTGAAGTAAAAGTATAAAATTTTATAGAGAACGAAAATATAATATTAATAAAAAATATTAAAAAAATATTTAAATTATATAAAAATTTAAAATGTTTAGAAGACGATTGACCTATTAGTCTACCTCGACTTATCCCTAACCGTAGTAATTAAAACTAGTATCTGATTTGTTGATGTTAGAGAAATATTTTATAAACAATGTTATATTTTGATATTATTTGTTTTAGAGTAAACTAACAAACAGTCACTAAAGTTTGACTGAGTTTTTGTTTTTCCACTGAACTTTTAAAAGTTACAAATTGGTCACTAATATATTAATTTGTAATAAAATTGTCACTCGCGGTTAACCACCGTTAACCTTTATAAAGGAAAGCTGAGTTTGACTGTTAAATGTTTAACTATACCATTGACCGCCACGTCGAATAACTGTTAGAATCTTTGTTTGACAATTCAGTCACTTTGGCAACTTTATGTTGATGAAGAAGCACCTTCGACACCGGCAGAGTCCTTGGCTGAGCAGAAGATCGTCATAGTGGAGCATAAACCACCTGAAAAATCTAAATTAGAGGAGGCTAAAGTAGAGGAAAAGAAAGGAGAAGAGGAAAGCCAAAGGAAGATTCCCCCACAACTGGAGAGAAACCAAACCCACCCTCGACGGGACTAGTAAGTCTGAGGGAATAACTACCGCTGCCACTCCAGAGCTGCTGCCTCCGAAGACAACTCCGCTATCAGAAGTGGAGAACCCTCCATTAGTGCATTAAGAAGAGCAAAAAAATAATGAAGGTAGCAGCAAAAATTATAGCTGATTTGGCTCCTTTTGATTATATTGGAGATACTTTGGTCGACTCTTTGAGTTATTTTTAATTAAAAAAAAGATTTTCTAAGATAACCCTTTAGTCAAATCTTCACCACTCCTTTACACGACCGCCTTTGCGCCGACCTTATTACAATTTCACCACTCCTTTTCGAGAACTACGTTTAAGGGTGTTTACCGAAGCAAAACAAAATTTATGGGGGTAAGTACAGGAAAAAAATTGCAGTTTCTCATGACTTATTTCTTTTGCATTGTTCATTTGCTCTTCTTTCACATATGGGGAAAAACCTAGTCGCATTGATCTATTTATATTGACCTCAACTCCGACACCGAAATATATAAACCTCACTTATTTACTCTCTGTGGCTGGTCCGTTTAACACACTCCTTAATTACCTTGAATCAATTAACTCATTGACGCCTTCTAAAACCAAGCCAACAACACTTAACAGGTTACGATTTTTACCCAAATACAATTCATTCGAGGGTCTTTAAAAGCCATTAAAGGGACATGCTGTGAGTACGATAACTAATTTGGCATTAAGGAGAAAAGCTGGTTCTTTGTTGGCTTGTTAAAATTTAAATTGAAGGTGTTTTAAACCATGTTTTCTACAACAGCAACAAAGTGATGAGCTTACACGGAGGATTAAATGAGTGCCTCATTTTGTTAGAAGACAGTAATTAAGCAAAGACAAAGATTTGAATTGCATGAATGGGACATGGTATCTATTCCGATAAAAATAAAAGACACGCCTAGTTCCGAACAGGGATAAAAGTGAGTGACTTATGCAACGTAGAGTGAGTGACTTATGCAACGTAGAGTGAGAGACTTTAGACCGAATTCTTTTACATGTCTTTGTAAACAACTTAAACTTTAGATTTTAGGGTGAGAAACATAAATAAAAACAGTATGGAGAGATTTGCACTAATGAAAAAATTGCAACCTTTTACTGCTACCAAGATGGTTCTTTGTTGGTTTGTTTTGCTTTAACAAGGACGTATAAAAATAGGATACGGTCTACGAGAACAAAGGCGGTGCAGGTATGGTCACTGGATAGTGGTCGAGGTTATAACTCATTAATGACAAGTTGAGTGCTTTTACTCGTTTCAATTTTGGTTTTTGCTGCTACCTTCATTGATTTTTGCTATTCTTTATGTGTTAATGGAGAGTTCTTCACTTCTTACAGTAGAGGAGTTGTCATCGGAGGCGACGACTATTGATTGGCAGCGATAGTTATGCCCTTAGATTTTCTAGTCTCCGCTTGGGGGTGGGTTTGATTTCTCTCCAGCTTTGGGTGCATCTTCCTTTGGCTTTCCTCTGCTTTCTTTTCTTCTACTTTCGTCTCCTCTGGTTTGAATTTTGCCGATGGTTTCTCTCCACTGTCACGATCTTTTGCTAAGTCGTGAACTCTATTGGTGTTCGAAAATCAGTGGCGCATCCAAAAATTTAATAACGGAGTCAAAAAATTTAGTATTTTTCTTATAAATAATGAGTATGCAATTTTTTTTCTTTTTTTCTTATAACATTATACTAGATTTAACTAATTTCCCAAAATAATGGGATGCACATGACCTCTATGGGACTTAGTGCATCCGCCTCTGTCGAAGATGCTTCTTCATCAACGTAAAGTTACTAAAGTGACCGAATCATCACACAAGGACTCTAATGGTTCTCTAGGGGGCAGTCAACAGTCCAACTCACCTTTCTGTTACTGAGGTTAACAAAGATTAACGTCGAGTGACCATTTTGTTACAAATCAATAATCTTAGTGACCAATTTATAACTTTTGAAAATTCAGTGAGGAAAGAAAAAACTTACTCAAATTCTAGTGACCATTAATGTAGTTTACCCTTTGTTTTATAAGGATTTAGAGATGACGATTTAAGATTTAGAAATTAAAAGTTAAGTGTTAAAGTTTACTGTTCAGAATCACATTCGTATATAAATATGCATGTTTGTGGAGTCTAAATTCAATATCTAGATTAACTAATGATATTATAATAGCAGAATGACTCAATTATTATAAAAATAGAGTAGATGGATTAAATTTTAAATAATAACATATTAGAGTGACAAATCAAAATTTCACCATAAACATACTTCTTCCTTCTTTTTGAATCAGACTTTGGTCAAATCCCGTAAAAATATACCCAAGGGGGGTTTACAAAGAACTCCAATATTATAATATAATATTATTGTCAAGGGTCAAGGTTGGCATGCAAGCAAGAAAGCAACTGCCAGACACCATTCATTGCATCCAAATCTTATCAATTCTTACAATAATCCTTCTATATAAGCATTGAGATTTGGTGATGGCTTATTCGCTGAAGCACCGGCAAATTGGGTATATTACAAAGCCATGGAGTTTTCTTTGCTTTGCATTGGTTACCTTGCCTTCCATATGCTCGTGTTAATGCCTCTTCCAATTTCATCGGAGCTGCTGACTCTGAAACAAAGCTTTGGTAATAACCCATCTCCGTTTCCTCCAAATTTTCTCTTCGGGACAGCCTCTGCTGCTTACCAGGTTTGCTTTCTCACCATTCTTTCAATCTCTTTATCCTATTCGATATATATGTATATAGTTCTTTATTAGTCAAAGTGATCGGGACGGATCAAGATTAAATATTAGCAAATACAGAAATATTAAACTTATTTAAGAAGACTATATTTAATCTGTTTAATATTTAAATTTACAATAATCTAAATTATTATTGAAAAAATTTGAGAATATTGAATTATCCTTCTTTAATCCGGCCCCTACTTAATTAAATATTTAATAAATTTTTATATTTTTAATTCGAATACATATTTTTAAATAAACTAAAATACTAATCTATCGAACATAAAAAAATTTATAGGGGCATGGCCCTTTGGACCCCAACAGAGGTCCGCCCTTAAAAATGATTATAAGGTAATATAAATTTGAAAGTCTCTTTAATAATTAACGCTCAAATATTCCTATAAATATCATGTTCGAATTTAAGACCTCCAAGGATAACAATCATATGTTTAACCACTGAGGTCACTTAGTTCATACATATATAAAATTGTATAACGAACACATAATTTTATGTCAATAATAAACTTATAAAATTTAAGTAGGAAAATTTATAAAATTTTAAAAATAGAAATAAAAATAAATTATTAATAGAAAATATTTAAATCATATAAAAATTTAAAATTTTCAAGAGAGAATTGTCCTGGTGAGACTCCTCGGTCCATTTCTGGTTGTATATGTAGACTTTTTTCTTATATTTCTGGCAGTATGAAGGTGGTTACTTGAGTGATGGCAAAGGATTGAACAACTGGGATGTTTATACCCATAAGCCAGGTGATTTCTTAGCTTTCTTCACCGGCATTCAACATTGGATTTGAAGCTTTCTCTTGTCTATTGAAAATGATGTTTTCCACGTTTAACAAAAAAAAAGAGGGAATGTATTGCAGGAAACGTCGTCGATGGAAGCAATGGAGACATAGCGTTGGATCATTATCATCGCTATTTGGTAAGCTTACTTTTGTACTTTATACATTTAAATTATATGCAGATACATCATCAATAAATTGATAAGTAATTTTATACATTTAAAGTGATTTCTTCTGAGCAAGAACCAAGCGACTTCGATGGTAAAAGAATTGTTATTATTCCTTAAGGTTTCAGGTTCGAGCATGAGGAATGAATGTCATAATTTAGGGATAATTAGAATGTTCAAAAGTTTAATGACTAATTTATAATAAGAGTCATAGTTTAGGAATTAAATTAGAATATTCAAAAGTTTAAGGATCAATTTAAAATGAAGGTTATAGTTTGGGGACATATGAATTAATTGCACCATACATCCTCAAACTATGACTTATTCTAAATTGATCTTTGAACTTTTGATTCTTCTAATTTCATCCTTAAGCTATGACTAATTTCATATGTCCCCAAACTGTAACCTTCATTTTAAATTAGTCCTTAAACTTTTAAATATTCTAATTTAATTCCTAAACTATGACTTGTGCTAAATTGATCCTTAAACTTTTAAATATTCTAATTTCATTCTCAAATTATGACTCTAATTCTAAATTAGTCTTAAAACTTTTAAATTTTTCAGTTTCATCCCCAAACTATGACTCTCATTCTAAATTGATCCCAAAGCTTTTATGTTGCCATATTCTTTCGAATTAAAAGATGCATGAACAATAGAAATAAATTACCGTGATTAAAAATGATCAAATTAGAAAGTATAAAATTTATGACTTACGTATAGTACATGAGCAAATAACATAATTTAACCTAACAATTTTAATGATTACTACTTGTGTAGGAACAGAATTCGAAAATTTGAAAATTACATGAAACAATAGTGATCAACTTAGAGTACAAGAACTAAATCTGCAATTTATGCATTGTAAAAGGACTAACAAAATAATTTGAATATATATATATATATATATATATACTATAACAAAAAAGGAACTCACAAAAAATATCACGAGTATCTTGTTTATTCTCAGAAAATGTGAGAGAGAATTAGAAGGTGACTTAGAGTTGTTCATTTGATATATAGGAAGACATTGATCTAATGGCCTCACTTGGAGTCGACAGCTATCGTTTCTCTATTTCCTGGGCAAGAATTTTACCCAGTAAGCCCTTTGAAACACACCATTGATGTTTAATCAAATATTCTGATATCTAATCATTATCTCCAATTTCATATCAGAGGGAAGGTTTGGCAATGTCAACTTAGCAGGCATCCATTTCTACAACAAGCTAATCAATGCTCTCATGCTTAAAGGTATATTTACATATATTTGCATTTCATGAATGAAATTTTCTTCAAAAACAATGCATAAATAACTGCAGATTTGGCCATTTTCTACAGGGATTCAACCATTTGTAACTTTGAATCATATTGATCTTCCCCAAGAGATGGAGGACAGATATGGAAGTTGGCTGAGTCCTGAATCACAGTAAATAATCTATTTTCCTTTTTTTTTTAAATGAAATGGTAACTTGTATTCTCTCTAATGTTTTTTTTCCCTTAACTTTCATTTTTGCAGACTGGATTTTGCATATTTTGCAGATTTGTGCTTCCAGTCATTTGGAGACAGGGTGAAGTATTGGATCACTTTCAATGAACCCAATTTTCAGGTCAAGTTCGGGTATCGAGTAGGGACTTTCCCGCCTTCGCGATGCTCGTTTCCATTTGGAAATTGTACCGATGGTGATTCAGAGAATGAGCCTTTCATAGCAGCTCAAAACATTATCTTATCCCATGCAGCAGCTGTTAATATTTACAGATCCAAATACCAGGTATATCAAATGGCACTAAAAAAACTCTAAATGCACCATTTGCTTAAATGCTTAAATGTAGACTTGCATTTTATTTATTTTTTCTTAAATGATGAATTGTTTTAGGCCAAGCAAGGTGGAAGCATTGGAATTGTTGTCAACGGGGCATGGTTTGAACCCATCAGCAACTCCATAGCTGACAAGCTAGCAGCACAAAGAGCTCAATCCTTCACTATTGATTGGTTCTTAGACCCTGTTGTTTTTGGTAGATATCCTCCTGTAATGCAAAGCATTTTAGGGTCTACTTTACCAGAATTTTCGAAAACCGAGAAGGAAATGCTGAAGAAAGGAGTGGATTTCATCGGAATTAACCATTATACAAGCTATTATGTCCAGGATTGTATGTTCTCCGTGTGTGAACCGGGGACAGGAACCTCAAGGACTGAAGGGTTATGGAGACAAAATTCACAGAAAAACGGCATCCCAATAGGAGAACCTGTATGTTATCTTATTCTTTCGCCTGTTGAAACATCACGACCGACCAATACACTATGATGCAGCCTAGGGAACTGAAGGCTCCCGGTCGGTCGGTCGGTCGGTCGGTCGTGACATACTTGTATAACAACTTGATCCCAGAAGCTAAATCTTTTTGCTATGCAGACTGATGTGGAATGGCTACATGTTTACCCTAGAGGAATGGAAAAGATCATAACCTATCTTAAAAAGAGATACAACAACATCCCAATGATCATCACAGAAAATGGTATGATGAGACAAAATTGTCCCTCAAAGTTCAATCTAATAGCTTTTTTTTGGGGACACTCATACATGTATCATGCTTGATTTTAGGATATGGTGAGGTGACCAAACCAAATTCCACCATTGAAGATTCCTTACAAGACACCAGACGAGCCAAATACATGGCTGGATACTTGGATTCTCTATCAACAGCAATCAGGTGGGGGAAAAAAGCAAATGAGAAAGAAACTAATCATTACATTAATTGCTTATGTTTCTTGCCTGTTAACTGATCAGTTTGTGTCTGCCATTCAGGAAAGGAGCAGATGTTAGGGGCTATTTTGCTTGGTCTTTGCTAGACAATTTCGAATGGGAATTTGGGTTCACAAGAAGATTCGGACTTCACCATGTTGATTTGAAGACACTGGCGAGAACACCCAAGTTTTCTGCAACTTGGTACAAGAATTTCATTGCAGAGCATGCCAATGTAAAAATCCGAGACAGTTGATTGTGTCCGTACAAGGATGGATCGAGGGGAGTGTTACGAGGTGCAATCACGCCATAAAAATTTTAAATTGTCATATAATTTAGATGTTTTCTTTATATTTTTCATTAATAATATAATTCCGTACCCCTTAAATTTTAATATAACTTTTTAAATATGCAAATTTTGATATAAATTCTTACGTTTGACGGTATATTTTGTCATAGCGTTTTTTTATTAATCATTGGTATTAGCGATATATTGATCGACTAATTCAGACCGGGTGTTGCAGAGGCCCATTATGGGGGCGATCCTCCTAACCCAGTTTGCTTCATACGCAAATGTCAAACTTCGAACTCTTGACCTTACTTAAAGAATCTAGTGTTTTATCCTACTAGACCAATTGGTTGTTGGTATAGCGTTTTTGTAATATATTAATAAGAATTTTAAAAATGAAATAATTAAGAAGTTTCAAATATTCGAGGAACCTAGTGATTATTTGGAGGGGTGAGGGGGAAGAGTAATTAACTTATACGCACAAGGGCGAGGTAAACAAAATGGAGGGATATAGGGAAATCTACATTGTGAGTAATTAAACTTAATATCAACAAGAAGGGGGGGGGCAGTAAAATTAATTTTGACACGAGGAGGAATGAAGTAGAAATTTTGGGCTCATGGTTGATTGGTGGTGGCAATTAACGGTGATCGAAGAAGATGATAAGTGATGATGGTCAATAATGTGAATTTTCACTAATTCAATAATTAAATTAATATTTTATATAAAGTTTATGATTTATATTATTTTTTATGTAAAATTTAAGGTTACATTTATATTCTATAAACAATTAAGGGGTTTAATTAAAATTTAATAAATTTTATTAACGTATCACGTCAACCAAGTGATGACAATTAATGGTTCAGTGACCAAGACGGATAGAAAATAAAAGTGACTAAAAATAAATATTTTTAAAATAGATAACTAAAATCGAATAGACAAAAAATATAAGAAACCACTCATATTATTGACCTTTATTTTTTATCTGATGAAAATATATTTTCATTCAACTAGAAATACGATTTTTAGTGATGTTCAGTTAGTCAATTCGATTAATCGACCGAACCGACTACTTAAAATTTATTAATTGATTTTTTTTCTTTTTAACATTAACCTAACTAAAACATTTTGAAATAAACATTAAACTACAAAGATATATTTTCATTCAACTAGAAATACGATTTTTAGTGATGTTCAGTTAGTCAATTCGATTAATCGACCGAACCGAACTACTTAAAATTTATTAATTGATTTTTTTTTCTTTTTAACATTAACCTAACTAAAACATTTTTGAAATTAAACATTAAACTACAAAGTCAGCATATCATGAGCCAGTATGATTAGTTTTTTTTTTTTAAATTAAACATTAAACTACGAATCTCCTTTGATCTATAGCATGAATGCTACAGTTACTGATGTTCGACCTATCATATTAAATTTGCATAACTAAGGGATCTCAACCCTGCGATCAAATGGTCCACCTTAACCTTTAATATTAAAACATTGATACTACTATTTTATTTACATACGATTACAACATGCTCATAATGATAATTTGTTATATTAACTATAAAGCTTTATATGAGAACTCATCGATGTGTGATTGAGATTATATATCTCATCTTACATTTCTTTGACGTGTTACTGAAGTTGTACGTATTCATCTCACACTCCTCTTAGTTGGATTAAGATTATATGTGCTCATCTCGCACTCCTTCGGGTGAGATTAGAATTGTTTGTGTTTATCTCGCCCTCCTTAAAACGACTTTCTTTACTCATTCTCTCCTCATGAAGGTACTTGCATGTTTTTATCCACGTCTTTCGATGACTCTTACCTTGTTCAAATAGCACCTTGCTTTCGGCTTTCTAAATGATCATCCCGAGTTTGAGAGTAGTATTTTTTTCTTTGCGCTAACTGATTTTGCTTCCAACTCAAAATACGAGGGTGAGGTTTAGGGCCGTGGTAGGGTTTTCGGGGCTTGTACAAATTTTTATAAAGGGATCCATATTTTTTAGATATATTCGATATCGGGGCAACAATAGTGGCATTTTCTTGACAAACACCGCGATTGATCCATCTATAATGGCGTTTTATCAATAAAGCCGCAATAATAGTGGCGTTTTTTTGAAAAAAACGTCGCAATAGGTCCATCTATAGTGGCGTTTATTGGAAAAACGCCACTATATATTTACTTTTTTGGGGCCCCATTTTTTGGGGCCCTGCGCGGTCGCGCAGTTCACGCCGCCCCAGCCACGGCCCCGGTGAGGTTGCATGTTTGGGTTTTACATCATGACTTATTCTTTCGAGTGCAAGTTAGTCCATTCTCATTATACATCGAAGGTTGATGAACAGCATATGAGGTGGTGGTTTACGTTGGTTTAGATGATGAGAAATATAGAGGTTGTCCGACAATTGATGATTCACCTTTTTTGATGTGGACGAAGAATCACTAGTTAGTTTGATTTTGTCTCAAAGGATCTTTCATTAATCGGAGCAAGAGAAAGTGATAGAAAAAAGAGAGAGCGTCCCCTTACTAGATGAAAATATATCCATATTTATTTTTTTCCACACGATATCATACGTGACGTAATAATGTTAAGAGGAATAAATTTTTTATACGCTTCGTGTAGGTTATGATGGTTTAATCATTCTAATATATTAACTATCTTTAGGAAGTTAGTGACCCTTTTAGAGAGGAAAGACACAACACCACTAACATTATGGATGATCAAGGTTAAAATGCTCTTGGAAGCAAATATATTTTTTATTTTCTAGTCTGATGTCGAATTCAAATAATGAATATCCAAAAATATATATTTTCATCTTCTCTAAATTCGTAATAACTAATAATTTTAACCTTTAAATCCGAATAAATCCACAGTATCCGACCAAGAAAAACAAATCGGATATATCATATATGCGGAATGGCTGCATGACTTGCATCCAGCCAGTCTCTTCCAACCAGGAAATTTGGATCTTAATATCGGATTTCAGACACTGAAAGCCCAACAAATCGTAGGTTCCTGTCTCTTGGGGCCCATTGCAGAAAATTCTATGTCCTTTCTTTGTCGGCTTGTGTTTTTGTCCTGTTCTTTGACCATCTTGTCTGATAGGAAGCTTAAAAAAGTACCCAAAAATACTCAATCTATCACATCCCGAAACGTATCCCCTGTTGAAAAACCCAGCACCCAACTCCGTAAAGGTGAACTCTTTAGCTAAATCTAAAGGAAAAATCCAGCAAAAAAATATGAACAGAGAAAACACATGGAGTGGTGCGTTTCGATGCCAAAGGTTGAACTTCATGCTCACCTCAATGGTTCAGTTAGGAACTCTACTCTATTGTGAGCTTACAACCCTTTTTTCCCTCTCTTTATTTTTTAAGGTTTTCAACTTGTCTTTGTTATTCTGAATTCTGAAAGCTGAATTAGATGTTTTGTTGTCTTCTTGACAGTGAACTTGCTAGAGCTTTGGGTGAAAAGGGTGTCATTGTTTTCTCAGATGTGGAGAATGTTATAATGAAAGGTATATATATGTTTCTTCCTCTTCCTTTTCTTAATGATTTAGTCCTCTATTTTATTATCTAGAACTCGAACTCGTTGTTCTTCGGCATCATAGATCGAAATTCGAGTCGATAAGAGTGAGTTTAGCTACTTGAGTGTGGTTTGGGGTTGAGTTGTTTATCGATTCAATTAATCCTTTTACACAATTCGGAAAATGGGGTTTGATTTTAGTGTGTGCGTGTGTTAAAAGATTGGTATTTGGGAACATTCCTATATGTTTTTTCTTTCGGTTCAGATGACCGTACACTACATGAAGTGTTCAAGCTGTTTGACCTCATCCACATTCTCACTACCGATCACTCGACCATTACAAGGATTACGAGAGAAGTAATGAAGCTTTCCACTTGAACGTATCTTTTAGCGTAGTTCATTGTGTTGTGAATCCTCTCATACTTTGTTGCTATTTGGACATACAGGTCATTGAGGATTTTGCTTCCGAGAATGTTGTATACCTCGAGCTTAGAACAACTCCTAAGGTACTTTGATTAACTGTTTTTGATTCATGGGATGTAGTTTGTTTTTGAGCTAATGAAATCATGGAAACGTTGTGCAGAGAAATGATTCTATAGGAATGAGCAAACGATCGTATATGGATGCCGTGATGGAGGGTTTAAGAGCTGTCAGTTCAGTCGATGTTGATTATTCACCTACTGGATTGAAGACCGATACAGTTAATGGAACTGCTCGAAAGAAGATATATGTAAGGTTTCTTCTCAGCATCGACCGACGTGAGAGCACCGAAGCTGCCATGGAAACCGTAAGTTAAGATTGCAGTTTTTGGAAAGTTTGTTATTTGTTCTATAAATATAACTATATCTTATTTTCTTAGGTTAAGCTTGCACTGGAAATGAGGGATTTAGGGGTAGTCGGCATTGATCTCTCCGGAAACCCAATTGTTGGCAGTTGGTATTCATACGCAAACACTTTCTTCTTGTTGCCGCTAAATAGTCGGTCATGAATACTGTTAATTCTGTACTAGTTTACCCATGATTGTGTATTTTAAATTTTATTAGCATCTGATGTAGGGATACGTTCTTGCCTGCGTTAAAGTTTGCTACGGAGCAGGGTCTCTATATCACTCTTCACTGCGGAGAGGTGCGCGTTCGTTCCTACTTCTTGAAACTTTCATAGTACTAGCTTGCTTTATAGTATTTGAAATAACACCTACTAGTTTACTTTCATATCTTAGTGCTTGTAGGTACCTAACCAAGAGGAAATCAAAGCAATGATAGACTTTCTTCCACATAGGATCGGTCATGCTTGTTGCTTCGACAAGGAAAACTGGAGAAAGTTGAAATCAGTGAAAATCCCCGTAAGATGTTTATCACTTAGTACATATGTTGATACCCGAATTTCAAAACCATTTACTTAATAGATTGCTTTGAGTGTGATATATCACTTGGTACATTGGTTGATTTATTGTAGGCCGACTTTTTTTTTTGGTTTTAGAATGTTTAGCGACCTAAGATCTCCTCTTTCGTTTCGTAAAAACCTTTTCCAGGTTGAGATTTGTTTGACATCCAATATCAGGACGGAAACGATTTCTTCAATAGATATTCATCATTTCGGTCAGGCTTATATGCTTCTGTTTCAACTCTTTTAGTAGATACTTTGCAAGTATATGTAATCTGCTATTCTCAAAGTTTTCGAGCATGTTTTGCTTTTTTTGTTTCGTTCTCTCATTTAGACGAATCTACTGTGTGAAACGGTATTGCAGTTGATCTATACAAGGCAAAACATCCTTTGGCTCTCTGCACAGACGATTCTGGGGTTTTCTCCACCAGTCTTTCCAGAGAGTACGGTCTTGCGTCCTCTGCATTCAGTAAGTGGAATATTTAACTTGCATGTATGAAGGGTATACGGCAAATAATTTGTTTATGTGCTCATTGATGATTTACCCTGCTGCTGCTGCTTTCCCCAGGTCTCGGAAAGACCGAAATGTTTCAGCTTGCTGAAAATGCTATTGATTTCATATTTTCTGATGATGGAGTAAAGGCAGATTTAAGAGCAACATTCAAAGCATCCGCCGAGAAGCTGGATTTATGAGTCGGTATCGATATCATAAGCATAATTATACTTCCTACTGAGCATACTTTATAATTATAGGGCATTGGTAACATTGTTGTTCCAATTTCAGTTGCAAGCAATTTGAGACCGTGCTATATCATATCATTTATATATGACTTTTGTTGATTTTTTTAGGCTGAATTTCATCCTATGTTTGACATAGAGTCGTATGTCTTTTTTCGAGTATCTTCCATGCTCATCTTACGGGCCATGGTTGGATCTCGTAACAAACCCTTCCCTGCTGATAATGTGTTCTTTCGTTCGAACTACACGTGTCTTATTATTGTAACCAAATCTTGTCGTCGATGTTACTCGGTACCCAATGTCAACTACCCCTTGATGTTGCTTTCTATGATTGTTGAGATTCTAGTTGCAGGCCAGCTTCAGCTTCAGGTCTTGGCCTTTGTGTATGTCTCTCATTGAAATAATACAATGTTGAAGATGGGCATTTGGGCAAAAGGTTTTATGCCTATTGCCGCCCAGACTCTTTTTAACTCGAGTTTAGTCTTGCATGGTGTCTTTTTATTTATTAAGTAGAGATATTATATTGAAGGCAAGTATCGGGACTCGAACCTACTCAAAGTGAGACAATGATTTCTGCTCGGTGATACCTTTAAATTGAAAATTAAATTAATTTTTTTTTATTTTAATTTGACATAATTTAATCTCGTTGAAAATAGCTCCACCAAAGTTCAAGGGTACGGATTGAGCAATGTGCAGACTGAAGGTGATAAACATAGGTTTAGGTGTATGGATTGAATCTATTGGCTCGTGATAATTGTCCTATCTTCTTTTGGTTTATTTTTAAAGTTTTAAAATAAATTAAATTTGTGAACACTCATTATTTATGAGTGAAAAATTTATATAAAATAAAAATAATAATTTTATTTAATAAGGACGATTGGTTGAGTGGTAAAATGTTTAATAAATTATGATGTATTCTTATAATTACTGATGTTCGAACCTATAACTTCTATGAATAATAATCATTTCATTAATCACTAAAATAATTTAATTCATGAGATAAATTCACACACACATATAGGGATGAGTTTTATTATGTAAAATTAATAAGTTTAGCACTAATTTATAATTATTAGATTTAAATAAATAAATGTCTTAAATTTGATTAAAATTTATAACTCATAAACAAATATTTATTTAACTCACGGTAAAACAATATCATTTTTACCCTAAATCTCAAAATCTCAAATCTAAATTCAAAACCCTAAATCTTAAATCTTAACCTTAAAAGGAAAAAATATTATTTTACTCTGAGTTAAAGAAATTATTTTACTGAGAGTTAAATAAATATTTATTTATGGTTTATAAATATTAATTAAATATAACTATTTATTTATTTATTTAAATCTAATTGTTATAAATTAATATAAAACTTATTAATTTTATAAAGTTTGATTTGAACCTAATCCTATAATATATATTCATATATATATATATATATATATATATATATATATATATATCATAATTGAGATATCTACATTTAGGGTAAACTATAAATTTGATCACATCTGTTTCAATTTTATCTATTTTTAATTATCAATGTTAGAAAAATATTATATTTCGGACATTTATGTTACCGAATTATTATATTTTGTTCATTAAGTTGTTAACCCTCTTACTTTGATAACGTGACATGTTAAAATGATTAATTTTTGTTTGAACCTTAGACTTTAGATAAAATGTTAATTTAAATTAAATTTGAGATAAAATATCAATTTAACTATAAAATTCGCTCAAAATCTCTCGTCGTCGATTACCGTCAGACTGTGTTGTTATCAATGACAATTGAAGTACAAGTATTTCCCTTATTGTTTTTGTATCATTTTTATTTTTTTTCCTCCTTTTTAACATCTAAAAAAAATAAAGATAAGAAATCAATGCAAACATGACAAAACATGTTATAAGTTAAGTGTTTAGTTTTTGTTTATTATTTGTGGTCATTTTCCCTAATTAAGTTTTAGTTAATTTGGGTTACTATGAAATCATAAATAATTGAAATGTTTAATTTTCTATTTCCTAGTTAATATTGGTTCTTCTATTTCAATTTTTTCCTCTCCGGTATAGGAAGGTTAAAAAATTCTTTGATTATAGATATTAAGTTTGATTTTTTTAATTTTAAAATATAACATTAAAACATGAATATTATTTTTGATTAAGCTAAGGTGATTACAAAGTTGTATATGTTCTAAATAATCTCAACCATTTGACAATGAACGTTCAATCACTCTGCTGTAGTTGCTGGTACTCGAACCCATGACCTTTAGGAATAACGATTTCTTTAACCGCTGAGGTAAATTGGTTCATGCTAACATGAATATTATTTATATATAAACGGAAGAGGTTATAAAAGGCATAAAAATAATGATTTGGACATATAAATTCTAAAATTTAATTTCTTACACCAACTGTAAGTTCTTGAGAACTTTTATATTGACTTTTACTAATTATGGATATAATTATCTTATTTTCAGATCTATATATCAGTCTATTATTATTATTATTATTATTATTATTATTATTATTATTATTATTATTATTATGTTTATGTTTATTATGTTTATTGAGGTCTCTCATCTAAACAATATTTATCTCGATTCAATTCGTGTGTCGTCATCTCTTTTCTTTTTCATCTTTGTTGATCGGCGACGCACTAACTTTAATATTGGTTCGACCGTCGATATTTTTATTTTCTTTTTCTTTTCTATGTCATATATTATTTTCTTTTGTTTTTCAATTTTCAATAAGTATCATGTTGCACGTTTTCATTACCTTTATGGTACATTTTCTTATGTTTTTTTAGCATTTTCGGTTCTTTGGCCGTTTTATTTATATTTTTTCTAAGGTTAATTTGATATCGCTACGACTGATCAAGATTGCGCTTATCTGATATCTTGTGATCTTCTCTTCTTTGGACCTTTGAATTGGATCTGGATACCTGATTTGTGTTAATGGATAGCTTTTCACGTCGCTCGAATTTGATTTATGATTTTTCAGTGGTTTTCAATAGCTTGATCTCCTTTTATGGTTCATTTGCCAATGTGATCAGATTTGTTTGTATATATCGTTGTTCGAGTTTCTTCGTTAAATTTAATCTTTCCTTATATAGTCCTTATGTTATCTTAAGTTACTAGTTTTGTTTCAATGATTATAGTAAATTTTCCTAATTATGTGCTTAATTTATTATTGTGATTGTAAATCTTTATTATAATTTGAGATATTTCCTATTTTGAATAAATTAGTGCTTCTATCAAAAAATTACTCGATTCATTTATTCATATACTAGGTTTTATTATGATATCATTTAGAACAAGTACTACTTTGAAAGAGAAATCAATTAATCGAATAGAGACTAAGAAAGATTTCACCTATACATCATTTTCTTTAATATCATTCACTGAATATTCACATTGATAAATATATTATTTTAAAATATTAAAGGAAAACTCTTTATGCCTTTAAAAGATGGGCCATATGGATAGTCTCCCCTTGTTTATATCGATACCTCATCAATATCGATACCACTTGCATCGGTACCGATATTGGTCGTCATATTTCTACCTATTTACACATATAGTATCGGTATTGTTTTATCAGTATTGATACCATTGCCCATTTACCATTTCAGCTCGATTTTCATTTAGTTTTTCCTAATCTTATACTTTTACCCAACAATACATTAAACTCATTTTTACTTAACCCAACTAACTTTACTTATTTGCCACCTTTAACATCTAATCTTCATTGTACATCTCAACTCAAGAACATATCATTTTTCTAACATGTTTTTAATCATATCTCATGCTTCTAAAACTCTTATTCTTTTGACAAGTCAATTCTACTAATAAACCTCAATAAAAACACATATAAACATATCATTCAAAAAATCCATTTCCTTAAATCTCATATAAAACATCTACCACTTAGTTTTAATCTTCTTTAATCCTTCCTTAAGCTTACATATCACTTAGTGTTACCAAAGCAACCCATAATTTAAAGGAATAACTAACTATTTGAAGTTTACCTTATACCATAGAGGAGAGCACTACCCACGTAAAGAAGAAGAAGAATAGAAAATGCCTTACTTTCCTTTTTTCTCCTATTTAAAATCCCTAATAAGAATATATTTTAAATTATTTCTCTCTATTAAAAGACCAAAGTGTCCTCTTAATTTATCTATTGATACAAATGAGTCTAAACACTATTTCAAATCATTTTCTCATCTTTTACCACTTATTCAAATAAATCTTAAATTTTCAAATCTTTTCAGTATAGTCTCTGATATGATATTTGGGTATTACATGATGCATAAATAAATGTTTGGGGGCTAAATAAGTATCAATTAATTGGAATCCATATTGATTTTCAGTATAATGATAATAAATCGGTTAAGACCCAAATAACTGCTATGGAAATTTAAAAGACCGATAAGAAATGACATAGAAATTTCTATTGAAATATGATCCCTAGACCATCTGTTTAAGTTCCTGATCTGTTTGATAAAGGACTTAGAAATTCTGATTCTGGAATAAACACTTGATGACTAAATTACTGGAAATGATGCATATAACTGAATTGAAGAAAATAACTGGAATACCCTTGTGCTTAGAAATGACAAAAATAAACCTAAGTGTCGTACCGTCCTTAAAGTTTAGATTTCGACCCATGCACGTTGATTATTTTGGATACTATTGTAGTTCAGAAATAAATTAAACACCACCAAAATACATGTTCGTCTTTTGAAGATCTATTCAATGTTGATTCTAAGGGAGATTCATTTAACTGGTGTAGACAGTATTAAGAAGTGAATATCTGTGAAGTATTTCGGCCCCAATGATTAGCAAGTATCGCAATGATTAATTTGACTTGACTTAAAGTCGATAATTCAATATAAATTCTGAATACTATAAACCATCTATTGACCTTTCTTGGGTTAAATTGTTAATAATTCTCAAGGAATCAAACTGTCCGAAATGCCCTTAATGGCCTGAATAATGGGATCACTCCTATTATTTATGAATGTTAAATAACTCTGATATAAAGGTTCTTGAATACCTTCCTGATACACCTGAATCGTGAATGGTCATGAAACATCAATTCTTGAATACCT